CCCCGTGTCCCCATCCTCCCTCCTCCACACGAGTAATGAAGAGGAGGAAACCACCGATCCCAGCCTCCATCTCCATAATAAAAGGATTATTCAGGCAAGGGGAGGCGGAAGCCGCAAAGCCGGCAGCACAATCTCCTTCCCTTATGACTTAGACTTTTTTTTTCTTAAAAGTTATTAAAACCGAACAATATTTCTAATTTGCATTTGTCGGAAGCGTGGGATGAACCTACAGACAGACGGAGGGACACACGGCTCACCCAGGAAGGCAGAAGGGGAGACGGTGCCGTTGCTCCTGGCCACCATGACGCTGATGCCCGTCTCCACGAAGGGCACAGAGAAGTCCACGATCTCGGAGCGTTCCTCGTTGATGGTGAGGGAGCCGATGGCCATGTCCGCGCGCTTGTAGTACACCTGGGGAAGAGGCAGGTGGTCTCAGTTTGGGCAGATGGACAGGCAGAGGGACCCAGACCACCTTCCCCAGGCACCTCCTCATCTCCAGCATTTCCAAGCTTAACTTTTGTCTTTTTAAAAAAAATACTAGCTTCTCACATGACCAGTGACACAAACACAACCAGCTGTGGGGTCATAAATGTTCAGCTGACTCCCTCCTTGTTCTCCTCCACCAAGCCTTGCCCATAAGCTCATGCCAAGCTGTCCCCTGCCCAGAGTCCCACTGCAGACACGCTGACCCTGCCCCACCAGGAAAGCCCCAGGCCAGGGCATGCCCTGAGCGAGCGGAGCCCCCCGGGGAAGGCCGAAGGTGGGTGCGAGCCATGCCCACCCCTACCTCACCAATCATGCCGTTCCAGACCCCACGGACGATCTTGCCATGTTTGCCGTTGGTCACTAGGTAGAGGTCGTAGGAGAACTTCACCACCTTGGCCAGCTTCTTCAGGATGTCGATGCAGAAGCCCTTGCAACACAGCTTGGTGTAGGGATCCACGAGGCCATCGCCACTGAAACCACACCAGGAAAAATGGGTTGGACCAACCAAAGATGCTCTGAGCACCCTGATGCCCTCTGGACACCACATGCCCAGGGACCAGTGGCCAAAATTGCTGCGCTCCATCCTCGCTGCTCACCTCTGGGAGGAGTTGGTTTGCTTGCGGCAGGGCACGGTGTTGCGCACGCAGACCCCGGTGCTGGGGTCCGTGTTCTCCACGATGACGAAGGGTCTCTCCTCCAATGTGGCCACCGTCAGGTGGCGGTTATCAGCCACGGGCTGCAGGAAGGAGCCGTAGCGGGGCCACACCGGGTACTTCATGTGGATGATGCCTTTCTCCCACTTGCCCACCTGCGCCCAAGAGAGAGTGCATCATCACCCCGGTGAGGGGCTCTGGGGATCACACGGGGTCCTGTGTCCGTCCTCCCCACACCTTTGGGGCTCGTTTCCTCCAGAGCATCATAAGGCTGGAGCTCAGCCCTGGTGAGACCCATCTCACGATCCCTTTCACCATGCACCCACTGACCATGGGGCGAGGTGTTTCCTCTTGGGGCCTAAGCACCAGGCTTGGGTGAGCACAAACTTGGCCAAACTTCACCCAAAATACTTTAAAACTAGGAAAAAAACCTCTCTGCGCTTGTTTCAGATCTAGGTGTTTGTCTGCTGTTCTCCAGAGGTGGGCAGCTGCATTTTTGCCTCTTTTGGAACTTTTCAGACAAATTGCAGGGAAAAAAAATCCAAGTTCTTTGTAGAGCTTTGGTGTCCGGCACTGCCGTGAAGCCCTACCATGTCATCATGGGTACTTTTGGTACCAGCCATGGGCTTTGCATGGGACAACCTGCCCCAGGGTGAGACTCCAGCCTGCGCATGGTCCCAAGCTCACCCTCCCCGGTGTGCCCATCCCAGGGGGTCCAGGGGTCCTACCATCTCCCAGAGCCGGTGCTGGTTAAGTGAGATCACCACCATGGTGGGCCTGACCAGGTAGCCGCCTTCGTTGAAGGAGAAGTCCCTGTGCTCCCATGTCACGTTGAGGAGGTGCCTGGTGGAACAGAGCACCCATAAGCCCCTGGCTGTGCAGCCCAGCCCCATACAGCCCTCCTCCTCCTCCTCTTCCTCCAGCCGGGCTGCCACAGGTCCCATGGAGAGACTCCCATGGCTGAGAGTTGGGGACCAGGTTTATCCCCCACGCAAGGGGCAGCAGGGAGCCAGAGAAAGCCCTGCCAGCAAGCAGGCACCAAGGATGGACCACTGCAGGGTTGAGGATGCACAGACTGCCACAGCTGCCCTGAGGTGCCATGTCTGTACTGCAAAGCAGAGCTGTGACCCCCCCACACCCCGAGACCCCCATGGGTGCCGGGTTGCAGAGAAGCACAGGAAAAGGCAAGGGCTGCTCTGGGGAGATGCTCCAGGAGAAACCCGGCCAAGAGGCATGGACCACCAGCTGCAGCCCACAGCGAGCATCACTCTCCTGCCTGCCAGCTCCACCCTCCTCCTCCC